CTTCACAAGGCAACTTCATGCCATCTTCCAAGTTGGTCAGAGTCACCACCAAGCTCACTCTATGGCCTCCACAAACTGTCATTCATCATCACTATGGTCTAGCTGTATGACCCTAAACTGTAGTGCACATCTTGGCCGCATGACATTAAAAGGCTTCGCACAGGCCTCAAAGGAACGACCCTAAATACGCCTTCACATGAAAAAAAATAGGCATGGTGTACACCTAACAAGGGAACTCCATGAGTAAAAATGACGGACGGGCATGGTCACAAAACCATGAGTAAAAGAGTTCCATGGAAAAAAAAATCCAAGCATAGTGAAAACCCCAAAAAAGGCATCGTGACAAAAAACAGACAAAAAGGTTGGACATGACCGTGAGGTCATGAGTAAAAGAGCCCAGTAAATAACAAAAGTTGGTGAAAACCGTCTTCACGGTGCCACTCCCCCTGTTCCAGTGAAAACCCACAAAAGGACGCTTGGACCGACAAGACAGGCTGAAGCACGACCATCGCCGACATTCAATCTCAAAACAGTCACAATCCTGGCTAATGAGGTTTGCCTAAAATCCTCAAAAGCCCGTACCTAATCGCAACACTATCATGGCTCATCAAGGGGTGAGAGTCGCATAAGCTCCCCCACGTTTCAACTTGGCTCATCAAGGAATGAGAGCTGCATCAGATCTCCCAACCATCATGGCTCATCAGGGGGTGAGAGCTACATAAGATCCCCCAGGTTTCAACATGACTCATCAGGGAGTGAGAGCCGCATAAAATCTCCCAACAATCATGGCTCATCAGCGAGTGAGAGCCGCCTAAGATCCCCCACGCTTTAACATGGCTCATCAATGAGTGAGAGCTACATTAGATCTCCCTAGTTCAACAACAACAAGAGTCCTTAATGGTGAGGACGATGACTAAAAGATCCCTTCAAAAATGCTAAGGACTATCGCGAAGGCAAGAAACTGATGAAGTCTAGGTCTAACATGCCATAGGCTTCAAGGTACATCTTGCAAAAACCCCTTAGCCTACATGGTACCAGACTTTTGGGATGGGTCAAAAGCCCCCCACTGACTCCGCTAGATGGGACCTATAGAGATACCTTGAGCATCAAAAGCAAATTTGGTGTACCAGCGAACAATGCGGACAAAAGGTTCGTAGCACTTGACCTTCAGAAAAGATCTGGTAGTCCCTTGAGGGTGATGACTTCTACAAGATCCCTCAAAACTTCTCTAATGATTGTACTTCTCGATTATATCGAAGCACAACATTCGGTGGGGCATGCTGTAGGAAGGTATTTTTCATCAACATGGGGCTCCCGCTCGATAAAGCCTAGCAAACAGTGGAAATTATGATCGTCTCATAATAGCCCTGGAATCGGCCAAGATCTTCATGAGGTCTCTCAAAAGTCTCCTACGAAGTTTCATCGCATTCCGACATGTTTAAGGCAGTGCAGACCGAGAAACAGTTCCGGTAAAATTAAGTTCTTGCACCCTAAAACAGCCCCTATAACTAGAGCTGCATTTTTTAGTGTCTCAAATTGTTGTAGGACTACCACCATTGGAGCCGGCAAGCTTGAAAATCCCCATGGGTGAAATTTTAGCCAAAACGAACACGCTGGGAAAAAGTTATTGGTAAAAGAGTGAAACAGGAGGGGCCACACGCTACTCCCGTGCGGCCACCCTGCAACTCCATGCCATGGAAAGGACAGTCATGACCAGTGACTTTTGACGCTCATATCTCATCCTTGCCAAGTTGAATCACACTCAAATTTGGTGAGCATGTTCGTCTAGTCAAGATGAGCAATTTACTATGTGGCACACCCCGTGACGACACCTGAGTGTGAAGAAAAGCTAGAGAGAAGTTGCTGATTCACGAAAAAGTGTAGGAAATTTAGCAGCATCGTGCCTCACCAGAGCGGCTAGATCACACTGCTCGCGATCCCGATTGTCGCAAGACAAATTTCATCATGTGCATCAGGTCTCGGGCTATCACTGACCCGAACCACGTACATGATGAACAATCAGATTCTCCACACAAAGCCAACAAAGCGATTGCAAATTCCATCGCCAGGATTCCAGATTTTAGACATTTCCAAAGTTGCAAAATCTTCGTTCAAGCTTATAATCGAGCTGTGTTTATTGCTATGCAATCGTAACGACATGCTCAGTGTAATTCAGTGAAGAAATCACCAAAAAACATCAAAGAAAGAGTACACTATCGATCCGAAGTTTCAAGATCCACTCAAATTTCAAGTCACATGATCGTACACTAAAAACACGATCCATGGCTCAAAGTTGCTATAAAATCGATAGTCATGCTGAGACTTACAAGAAAACAATCATCTTACGATCAACTAGGCATCAGCAAAACCTTGGATCAACCATGCAAGATCACGTAAGTTCTAGGGCAATACAGGGACTATTATAGAATTTCAAGAATTTTTAGGAAGAGGCAAATCTGTCATTTTGTACCCTATTTTCTAATTTATTTTAATTCAATTTAATCTTAGCTTCCAAGAATTAGGGTTATTTTTTACCATCCACTCATGTTTACGACAAATACATACCAGCACTGTACTCACGGGAGGACTCAACCTTTCACAAAGGAGAGTTTTTACTTAATACAAGTTTCTCTTTCTTCTCATTGTTGGGTCACATTTAAGGAGGTGAGAGAAACTTTTGAGTGGTACCCCTAGGTTCGAGGTAAATCTTCTCTCTCTTCGTTTATTTTTCTTCTTCTCTCTCTCTTTGCTTTTTTTCTCTCTTTCCCCCTCCGTCTGAGTTCCTCGTAGGGGTAATGCATTGCAGTGGCAGTGTCGTGCATGCATCCCTAGAGGTTACACAGGTCGCGCATAGCGATGGCAATGCCATGCGCGAGTCTTCTTCCCCTTCTTTTCTCTTATCTTTTTCGTCCTGCGGGGGCTCGTAGATGGCGCTGCCCATTGCCGTCCACAGATATAGCTTGGACGTCTTAGTGAAGAACCCCAGACAGCGAAACTCGTTTCCAACCGTAGGTGTCCTTCCTTATTGCGCGTCTATAGCAGATGACGATACCCATCGCCACCCGCTATAGGCCTAGGCAACGTCTAACGCTATCCGCGTGTTTCCTTCACTTGTTCGGCGTTCATCATCATCCTTCCTGCATCCCACGCCCATCGCCATGCCCTCGTGAGGATTGCCGCCATGCTTCACGAATGGTCATCACCATGCGCTTCATCATAAACTATTGCTGCCCGCACGGGGGCATGTTGTTTTCTTATGTTGCCAATGGTGATGCCTAGCATCGTCCGCAGTTCATTCCTCGCTCTCTAACCATAAGCAGTAGTGTCGAGCGCTGTCCAAGGGCCACGACACTACTACTCCATTGTCGTGAGCAGCAACGGCTAACACCGTCGGGATCTCATCTCTCTGTCGTCGCGTCTCTTCTTTTCATTCTCTTGTCTCTTCTCGCTTGATTGAGGGTAGACTTAGCCTAGCACCACCATATCGATCTCGGTTTTGAGTACCATTGTCATTGTGCTGGTTCTAAGAACCATGCCCGTCTTGCTAGCACATCGAGTCGATGACTTCCTAGCTGCAATGCTAATCTCTCCTCTTCGTCATTTTTTCTTCCCTTTTCTATATTTATTTGAACCTTACGCTTCATCACTCTCTCGTGTGAACGTACAGTTCCCTAAGACAAGGTAGGGTCCCTTTGACCCACTTGTCTCTCAAATTAACCATAGAAGTTTTGAGAAGAAAACAAGAGGATTGTAGGTCAAGGGAGATTATTTTGAACTAGCTAAAGCAGCTGAGAGGCTTTCTTCGTGATCTAAGAGGGTGCCCACGCTAGCCAACCCGAATAAGTCCCAAACCCACCTTCAATTCCTCTTTCATGCCCTTGCTCTCCAGAAATGTTTCGAGATAGTGATCTCAAATCTCGAGTCCCCAGAAACCAGAGATATGTGTCCCAGATCATTTAGATCCGAAACGAGAGATCGAGGCACCTAACCAGCATTATCTTCATGTTCTCTTCAAGGAAAATTTTATTCGAATTCCAGACCGATGTCTACTAAAACATTGGAGGCACTCTACATCATTGATATCAAACGTTAGCTCGAGCACAACAGTTTTTTATGTTGAGCATGTCCAAACTATACAATCATTAACATCAACAATTGATACAAAGGTGCAAGATTTGATGATTGGTACAAGTTCATTAAGGAGCGATTTTCAAGAATTTGGAACATGTTGAAGAAGTAGAATGCATGAGGTCTCCTGTGGTTGATGAAACATCTAATGCAAGTCTAGCAACTAAAGAGGATGAAAATAAGCTTCATTGTGAAAGCATCCATGTAAAAAACCCTGTTCAGTCTATCACAAAGGGGCGACCTCCTGAAAAAAGGTTAAAGCCCCATATTTAAGTTGCCAAGAAACGTAGATATTATAAGGTTCCTTCATGTGGCCAAACTGGGCATGATTATAGGAATTGTCCATTAAGAAGGTTAATTTATTAGGTAATCATTATATGATAGAAAATACCATTCTTGGTGTGATGTTGACACAATGTTGGGGCTAGAAATGCTACTTTTCATATGAGAGTTTTGAGCATTCACATGTGACAACTTTGTATATGTAATTTTGGAGTGGTACAAAATGGATATTGTAAGGTTGAAATGTGGATGAAATATTGATGTTGTGCAGTAGATGTAATGAATATATCTTTACTTGATAAAATGCTCCATCTTTTGGTAATTCAGTAAATAGGATTTTCAAGCAAAGCATCATTCTTTGTCCCTTTGTGGATATGCCATTGATGTGTTGAAATATGAAATTGAGGTATGGCAGGCACAACTGGGCAGCAATGCTTAGACTCTTAAAACTCACAGGATCACAAGGGGTTATGGGTACATCATTCCAGCTTTATGAGGATAGAATAGAACTGCAATTCGGCACGAATCACATGGGTATGAAATACATGGCATATAAAGAGAGAGAGAGAGAGAGAGGGTCAAAACACAACTTCCCATTAAATAAGAAAAACTTTATTCATGTAAGCACAAGATAAAATACATCAATTGTTTTAAAGTTTAGTAGAGAGAGAGAGAGAGAATACATGAGCGAGAAGCTCTCAGGCCTTCTACTTTATGGCTTTGAAACCAACTATCTTCATCACCACACTTCAAACCAGAGGCTCTACTCTCGCTGCCCCATACAGTTCCCCATTCAAAATACGCAGAGTAAGTTGTGAATCTCCCAATTCTTGATCCTAATTCTTCAAGTCTAATAAGGCAGAGAATTGATCAAACAAATAAAATCATTACTCCATAGAAGTTAATCCTTTAGCTAAGAAAATAACAAGAAATCATCAAATAAACAAAACCATTACTCCGGCCTTTCCTATCGTTAGATAATTATTATACTGAAAATAACAATAAATCATTCACTTGATCCCAAATTTAATCCTTTAAGTATGAAAAGAATTGCCGAATCAATGAAAAATTGGAATCAAAACATAAAAAATGGCTGGTGAATATTTTCAAACATTTGGACTCTGCAATAAAATAAAAATAATCATTTTTTGAATATATAAGGCCAAGCCCTTCTAAGGAACATCACAGATTCAGAAGAAATCAAGCCATGAAAGAACTTTGGGATAGAAACCTAATTCAATATGAGATATAAAATGAAAAAAGAAAATGAAATTCGTTGGAGCAATAAGTTACCTACATAGCCTTTGGTGGGAAAACAAAAATCCCAGGTTTTTATAAAGGGAACATCACGGATTTGTAAGTGACCAAGGTATCACAAATTTAATGCCTATACTTGGAGACGATTGCTTCTATTTTGGGAGAAGGTGATCTATTATTTGTTACTTCTTTTCTATCTTCACAAGGTATCATCAACTGCACTTGATGGGTGGAATTTTCAGAAATAAACCCAAATACAATGAAAAATCAAAATGAAGAACGAAGCCTACACCAACAAATCAGTCAACATATAGATCAAGAAACCCAAATACAATGAAAAATCAAAATGAAGAAAGACTACACCAATAAATCAGTCAACATATAGATCAACAAACCCAAATACAGTGGAAAATCAAAATGAAGAAAGAACCCTACACCAACAAATCAATTAACACATAGATCAACAGAGTAAATTCTAGAAAAAAATCCCAACAAAAAAAATTAAATAAATAAATAAATGGCATTGAGTGTGGCATTCGTACCTGGTGTGATCGGCAATCTCCATAGCTGAGATCACATGAAGGTGAAAATTAGGGTTTTCTCGAGGTAAAAAAAATGCAAAAAAGAAATGGCGGCCTCAGCAAGGAGAGAGAGAGGCGACTATCTCAAGTCAAAATAAAACCTACCAAAATTGCATCCAAAAAACAAAAATATAGATGGTTACCAAAATCTCATATCTTTCACTAAAAAAAAAAAGCTCCAAAATCTTACCCAAATAAAGCTATCAAAATCTCACCCTAAATCTCATAAAAAATATCTCCAAAATCTTACCCAAATACTTCCATTTTTGCCTGGTATTTTGGAATTTTTTCCGATCAAGAGAGAGAGAGTTGGGGATGGCAAGGCGAAAGATCAAGAGAGAGAGAAAGGGGAATGGAAAGGAGAGAGATAAAATAGAAAGGCATGTGAGAGAGAAGAGATTGATGTGAGATTTATATTTTGAAATTCAAATTTTACCTCATTGAAGTATGATTTTTCAATTTTGAAGTAAAAGTCACAAATGCCCTTTAATAGGTTTCGGTGTTCAAATAGCATAGAGGCAAAGAAGGTAAAAATGAGGTTCACAACTTATCCTAACTTGAACTTGTTATTTTTGGGGGGTGTTAATCCTAGAAAATCCATACGAGTATATATATATATATATATATATATATTATGAAAGTACAGAGAATTTGTGTGTCCTATTTGGGTTATCATATGGGAAAGATGATTTTCTCTAAAGAGAGAGACAGGGCCTCCTGTGCATGAGAGGCAAAGCCTTCCTTTAGAGAGAAGACAACTTCCTATGGAGAGAAACTCCGCATTGTGCTTATGGTAGATTGAGAGGGTGGTTTCTTGTAGTGAAGCTGTTCTCATTAAGGTTTTGGGCAGTTTCCCCTTTTAGTGAGAGAAAGTTTCGGTTTCTCTTAAAGTTCTCCTCTTGGACAATGGTTTAGTTGTGGAATGAAGATGATCTCTTCATGGACATTGGTTTAGCTATGAAATAGAGATGACACATCGATGGGTTGTGCCGATCCGGAGAGCATGTCTAAAAGGGTTTCCTGGACTGGGTTTTGTCTAGGGCTAGAGAGGTAACTCTCTATTCCAAAATGTGTAATGTAATTTTCATTGATATAGTGGACTTCAGATGGCCATGCCCGTGGATATAGCCCACTTGGGGTGAACCGTGTAAATCTTTGTGTTCTTATAGTGTGTGTATTTTATGCTTTATTTCTCGTATTGTGGCGCATGCTATTGCTTATTTTGATTCGTGCTCTTGTGGTGTGTGTGTTTTGTGCTTTATTTCTCGTATTATAGCTCACGCTCTCGCCTATTTTGTTTCTAGCTGGATAAGTACACGGTCTTGGTAGGATCCAATATTTGGGATTCCTATTTTTGCATCTAAGAGGGTTCTTAAATCCTAACAAGTGGTATCAGAGCACATGGCCTACTACAAGGCTAGTGTTTGTGTATTCGGTTGAACAAAAACAAAAGGCAAAGTATGCAAGTATTTTATTTGAGGTGGAGAAATATGATGGCAAACTCTATTTTTCTGCAAGAATGGTGAAAGAATTTATTTGGTACAAAGATGAAAAATTCATAAAGCTATCCAATGGATGTTGGCATGGTGAGCAGGTGATTTTGAGATCAAAGTGGATATTGTTGGATATGGCGATTATCCAAAATCACCCAACATTGGAAAATCCCATATTATGTAGGATTGAGATTGATATTGATAAGTTTCCTAAAAGAAATAGAAATCTAAAAAGATTAGGACTCTTGAATATATATCTTGGTTCTTGATGTGTAACATTTATAGGAAGTTTCATATTTAGTATGGGTTCCTAATTTTATACATATGGTATGAAAGTACAGAGAATTTGTATGCCCTATTTGGGTCACCATATGGGTAAGGTGGTTTCCTCTAGAGAGAGAGGCAGGGCTTCATGTACATGAAAAGCAAAGCCTCCCCTTAGACAAAAGAGAGCTTCCTATGGAGAGAAACTCTGTGTTGTGTCTCTGGTAGATTAAGAGGGTGGTTTCTTGTAGTGAAACAGTTCCCATGAAGATTTCGGACGGCTTCCCCTTTTAGTGAGAAATAGTATTGGTTGCTCTTAAGGTTATCCTCTTGGATTTAGATGTAGAATAGTGATGGTTTATTCCTGAACAGTGATTTAACTATGGAATAGAGATGAGAAATCATCGAGTTGTGCCGGTCAGGAGAGTAGGTCTAAAAGGGTTTGCTCGATTGGGTTTTGTCGAGGGTTAGAGAGGTAACTCTCAGTTCCAAAATTTGTAATGTAACTTTCATTGGTATAGTGGATTTTAGCTTGTCGTGCCCATGGATGTAGCCCTTTTCGAGTGAACCACGTAAATATCTATGTTCTCATGGTGTGTATGTTTTATACTTTATTTCTCGTATTATGGCTCATGCTCTCACATATTTCATTTTGTGTTCCTTTGAGATGTATTTGTTTTATGTTTTATTTCTCGTATTATGGCCTCTCGATTATTTTGTTACTTGCTGGATAAGTACATTATCTTGGTAGGATCCAATATGTGGGATTCATGTTGCCGCATCTAAGAAGGTTCTTAAATCCTAACAAAACTTAGTTGGTCCAATTGTCACATCTAACGATGTGCCACATAAAATAGTTATACAGATCAATATCAGTTTAGTGCTCAATGGGCTACTCAAACATATGCGCAATGTGAGCCTCAAAAGCACAAGAGCATGGATCAATATCAAGCCACTTAGATCTTATCTGTGTTAATATGAGCCACCCTTTAAAAGCACATGAGTGAGACCTTGTGGGTTCCAAAGATAATATGGGAGCTATGCCGATTTAGGAATTATCTCGACACCATTCAACAAGGATTATACCTACCATTAGATTTCCATGCAAAACATTTCCCGAACCAAGGTTATTCCCCCAACGCATCAACCAAGGTGACGATGGGCTGTACGCACTGAATGCTATGACGAACAAAGAACATACAAGACTCTAAATACAGCTTGAGACCCTGTAAAGAAAAGTCTAGGATGCCTTTATTAGAAGGAAATACAACAACAATCAAACTCAAATCTCACACACATAAGCAAGTATGAACTTGACAAATGTGAGCATATGCTTATCCAACACGAGCTCTTTCATGTGCATCAAGTTTCACATCATCTGATGATCATAAGAGGATTATCAGCTCAATGTTGCAAAGCATAAATGCCTGGAAACTTTTAGGAATGCGTCGCACATCAATGCGGTTTGTGATCTACAAGCACTGACTGCTAATCACCAAGATCGGTACTTCATAAAAGAATAAATGAGACCATAAAGAACTATTATGGGAAAATGGCAGTTGCTGAAATGCAGCAACATCGAAATGCTTAAAAAGCTTTTGGTGTGCTCAACTGAAAAGTTCGACTTATGACCCACTCACATTGAATCGATGGGCACCAAACTTGGAGGTTTAAAAACATCAAATACCATTACGAACCAACTGTTATTGAACTGTAATAGTCACAAATCCAGCAGGGTGTGTGTGCTTAGAAAACTCAGCAGGGTGTGTGTGCTTTGAAAACATGCACCATGCTCAAGCTAAGAAATATGAGTTGTGTAGGATTAGAGTCCAGGCCTAATTGGTTAGCACTTGATGATTTGCAATGCTATGTCCTAGACTCAATTCCTACCACGAGTAGGGGGCCTCTCTCCACTGACTCACTCAAAAACAAGAGTATGAGTTGTGCCCCTACAAGCACCAACCAAGATAACCAGTAACGTCAGCACTCCCAAATGTTCAAAACATGATTATGAACCCATTGTGTTGGGAATGAAAACAACCACAGTATGCAGAAAAACAAAACCGGTTGAACGCTCAAAGATGCACGAACTATAATCAATATTCGTGTTACAACCATTGTTCAAAAGATTGGCCGGTTTAAAAGAGCAGCCAACTAAATCAGGATTTGTCACTGGTCGATCTCGAGTTGTCCCGATTCCAAGGGTCACATATTCTGAAAAAAAAATCAGTACACTAATCGGCACAAATCTACCGATTAATCGGCTATCGATGATTTGTTGTTATGATCGTCCAATTTGTGCACTCTCTCTCTCTCTCACTCTATCTCTATCTCTATCTCATGTTGGGACAAGAGACTTCTGCAACCTATCACTCTCTGTAACTATTGGGGCAAGCTTGCCCCAACGTCTCTCTCACTCACTCTATCTCTAACTATTTGGGCAGGTTTGCACCAACGTCTCTCTCACTCGCTTTCTCTGACATTGTTGGGGTAGGTTACTGCCCCAACCTTTCTCTCTCTCCCTCTCTCTCACATCTCTCTCTCTCCCACTCTCTCTCTCTCCCTCCCACATCAGCAACTCCTTGATAGTGTTGACATACATTCCTACAGAAAATGCATAGACTTTGAAGAATTGTATCTCCTTCATCGATAGTCCGTTATCGACGAGATTTGAACCATTAGATTAATCTTTGAGCTCTCTTTAATCACCAAATTTCATTATTAAAGGGTGTGCTTGGAGAAAGTGATTAAAGAAATATGATTTTTTTAATGGGCAAAGGGAAGCATCAACGTCATGATTTTTCTCGTTTGAATTCTTATCTACAAATTTGAAATTCAAAAGATGATTAGCGACCAAATGAAGGGTTGTCATTACAAATACACTAGGTGCAAACAGATTAAGCAGCGTAAGGAGATAAAAACGAATTCCAATATAAGATTTGCGCATAATCTAAAAGGACCAGCTCGTGAATTCAAAATTGTGGAAGATCAAGCTATGTGTAAGATCAGTGAGCAATTTCGAATTCATATGAGACCAGGTTCAGATTCATAAGACCAGTTGAACAAATTCAAAATCACGAAGAACAACCCAGGAACTCAAATTTACGAAGAGGATGAAGATAAACATAAAATTTGGTTTTGTGAATTCACAATACAAAATTGCACGACAAATCAGCGCAGAGATCAAAGAAAGGATGGACAACGTCAGAAAATCAACGATGCAGATTGAAAGATCTTATCCTTATGTTTATTAACTGATGATTGGAGCTTATCGCTTCATAAAAAATTTATAAACCCACTCTTAATTAAGAGAGAGATTCACAATTTTTTTTTGGCATAGATCTTATTTGTAAGCTCTAAGTGCTAGACATTTATGAGGGAGAGTAAAAGAGTAAGAGAAGAGCGCGTATAATAGGGAGAAGAGAGAGAGAAAGAAAGATTTGTTCCATATGCCCACTTGAGACCCGTTCTCAAAGAAGGAACCAGACACAGAAGTGGCATCCCTACCGTAGATCAAGTATATCGGTTGATGTTCCTTTGATGTTATTTTCCTTATTTGATATGTTTGTATAGCTTCCTTCTTAGCAACGAATGTATAGGTCTCATGCCAAGAATCAAGGGTAGTTA